CACTGCCTGTTTTAGGACACCTAACTGACCTGTTAGGGTGAAGAAGTCCTGTTTGGGTGCTGGGGACTGAGCTCTAGTTTTTACATTTCTTTTCGTTGACTAAGTTATTACTACAGTAAACATTTTCTATTTCACCTTCAACATATTCTCATATGCAGAAAGAACTTCTATGCTAAATACAGTATCCCTAGGAAATAGGAGCGGTGATAGTTTTATGATCTAACAAATAAAGCTTGCCTGAAGATCAGAGTGCAAAGCTAGCCACACTAGTTAGCCATAGAGGCTAGGCAGTGGTGGCACACACCTTTAATCCCAGTATTTAGTAAACAGAGGCCGATAGATCTCTGTTAGTTCAAGGCCTCCCTGAGCTACATGAAATTGATCCAGTCTAAAAGAGAAACAGAGCCGGGCGTTGGTGGCGCACGCCTTTAATCCCAGTACTCGGGAGGCAGAGGCAGGTGGATCTCTGTGAGTTCGAGGCCAGCCTGGTCTACAGAGTGAGTTCCAGGACAGCCTCCAAAGCCACAGAGAAACCTTGTCTTGAAAAACCAAAAAAAATTAAAAAATAAATAAATAAAAGAGAAACAGAGCTCATACAAAGGTGATCTCAACACTTGGAATAACATGCCTTTAATCCCTGAACTAGGGAGGTGGAGACAGAGGAATATAAGGCAGGAGGAGACAGGAACTCAAGGCAGTCAGAGGAGCAGTGCAGTCTAGGCAGTCGGTCTTGGGATGCATTCAGTCTGTGGATTCCTAGAGATAGACAGGATTGTCCCTTTGGTCTGAGGAGTCAGTAGAGGTAAGAACTAGTGGCTGGCTATTTTGCTTCTCTGATCCTTCAGCTTTCACCCTGACTCCTGGTTTTTACTATTAAGTACAATTAGAATTCATGCTACAAATAGTTAAGATTGTAAAGTATTTTGACATCACAAAGGCTTTGTTTTTTACAGACCTGAGTGTCAAATCTAGGGCTTTCTATATGCTAAGCAAGCTATCTGCCTTGAGCTATATCTCAAACCACAAAGATATTTCCTTTTTCACACTCACATTTCTGTTGGAATACTATTGACAAAAAGGTTATCTATATATGATCCCAAGATTTCCCATGTCTGGTCTTCCTTTAGCAGAGAAAGACTCTTACCCGCTTCCTTTCCCTCAGTTAAACACAGAACAAGTGATCTCTTATGAAAGTTCAATAATTTGGCAGCAAAAAAATTCCTAACAACTATTCAAAATAACATTTTTACTTTATATTTAATAATTCACTTCTTCCTCTTCACTGTCTTCAGGTACCAGTGATTAAACTCAGGCCTGACATGTTAGACAAGTGCTCTATGAAGGTTTTAGTTTTTATTTTAGACAAGATCTCTGTAAGTCACCCACACTGGTCTTGAACTCATTCTGTAATCCAAACTGTTCTCAAATCTAAGATTCTCAGCTTCCTGAGAACCTGCATAAACACCAGCCTGAACCAACAAATGCAGTTTAATAATTCACTTTCACTAATTTATTATAAACATCTATTACAAACACAAACCTAGGAGATTAACACAAAGAATTAACAATGAGTGATCATATTTAGTCCCCACACTTGAAAAGTATAGGCAAAGCCGGGTGTTGGTGGTGCATGCCTTTAATCCCAGCACTCTGGAGGCAGAGGCAGGCGGATCTCTGTGAGTTTGAGGCCAGCCTGGTCTACAGAGTGAGTTCTAGGACAACCTCCAAAGTTACACAGAGAAACCCTGTCTCAGGAAAAAAAAAAAAAGGAAGGAAGGAAGGATGGATAAGAAAAAGAACGATCCCAGCACTCATGAGGCAGAAGCAGGCGGATCTTTGTGCATTCGAGGCCAGGCTGGACCGATAGCCTCCAAAACAATACAGAGAAACCCTGTCTCGTAAAAACCAAAAAAAAAAAAAAAAAAAGAACGAAGCCGGGCGTTGGTGGCGCACGCCTTTAATCCCAGCACTCAGGAGGCAGAGGCAGGCGGATCTCTGTGAGTTCGAGACCACCCTGGACTACCAAGCGAGTTCCAGGTCAGGCTCCAAAGCCACAAAAAAAAAAAAAAAAAAAAAGAAAAAGAAAAAGAACGAGAAAGAAAGATAAAGAAAAGAATAGGCAAAAAGACCAATTCAAGGTCATCCTGGTCTACAAAGACAGCTCAAAGATAGCCTGGATTACATGAGATTCTGTCAAACAAATAAAAAAAGTTATAATTTCATAAAGAGAAAAGAAACTTTTTGAACACTAATCTAAATTGGGAAGGCAGGTATGGTAACCAAGTGTCTAGAGTTCCATCTAAGACACTGAAGCAGAATCACAAGTCCAAAAACTTGAGAACACTCTGGACAACACATGGAGATCCTGTCTCAGGAAACAAACACTAGGAAAAGGATGTGGAGAAACTGATAAGCAGAACTGGTTTCAAATGTAAACCACTCAGCAGGCAATCAATCTCATTGATTTAAAGAAAATCAGTTGTAGAAATTATGGAAATTTGATGCGTGGTGGTGGCACACATCTTTAATCCCACACTTGGGAGACAGAGGCAGGTGGATCTCTGTGAGTTCAAGACTAGCCTAGCCTGGTCTACAGAGCCAATTCCAGGACAGCCAAGGCCTCACAAAGAAATCCTGTCCCAAAAAACATTAGGAAAAAAAAAAAAAAGAAAGAGAGAAGAGAAACTCAGGAGATTTTGTGTCATATATGGTAGCATACAATGTAATACCACCACTCAGGAAGCAAAGCTAGGAGGACCACCTGGGCTTAAGGGCAGCCTGAGCTACATTATGAGCTCCAGGTCACCTGGACAAGACAGAAAGCACCTGTCTCAAACAAAAACCAAAGCCCACATAGACTTTGTCTTTAGATACTTTAGAAATGTGTTTCTCCAGTAAGTAAGTAAAGAAAGGCTGAGGCTAGGAAGGTAGGTCAGTGGGTAACAGTAACTGCTGTGTAAGGACTGGGCATGGTGGGTCAAGCTTGGAGTCCCAGCACTGGGAAGGTGGCAACAGAGGGATTCTCTGAACACCCTCCATCCACCTCCCAGCCAATCATCCTCCCCCACTAGGCTAGATGAGCCCCATGCTCCAAGAGAGACTCTTGATTCAAAAACAAGATGGATGGCTCCTGAGAATGATACCTGGGATAGACCTCGAGCACACACACACAAAATAAGCCTACTAAATTATACCCAATATCATTCCTACTACACTATCTTTCAATCAAAAAGAGCCTCCTAGTTTTTTTTCTTTTCTTTTTTCTTTTTTGGATTTTCCAGACAGGGTTTCTCTGTATTGCTTTGGAGCCTGTCCTGGCACTCACTCTGTAGACCAAGCTGGCCTCGAACTCAGAGATCCATCTGCCTCTGCCTCCCGAGTGCTGGGACTAAAGGCATGCACCACCACGCCCGGTGAGCCTCCTAGTTTCTTGAGAAATTCATTTCAAACAAAGACACCGCCCAAGCACTCTGTATTATTACCCATAAACTCAGCTGACCCCTGTTTGTACATGTAGCCCTAACACCCAACTAGAATAGCATTCAGCAGCTAGCAGAAGACAGCCCCCAGGAATTCTTTCCTTCCTGTGCATTAATGCTAGCCTTCACGTCATTGAGGTAGAACTTACTCCCCATCCCCAACCAGCGTTAATTTAGATTAACCTTGACTGGACTCAACCATAAAGACACAATTAAGCTTTTTTGTTTTGTTTTGTTTTTAATGTTTCCTATCTTGAACTTCAAATCTAGCACAAGAGGACTGAGCAGTTTCTACCTCCTACTCCTCCTTGGGGCACAAGCCACCATACTTACAAGTTCATACAGGGAATAGCAGGCTTTGGGTCCTATCTGACCTCTAAGTCTAGCCTCAAGCTCACGATCTCCCTGTCTCGGCCTCCTACATGTAAGGAACAGAAGCATGTGTCATGCTCAGGGATGTTCACCTTTTTATGCTATTTTGCTTACTAGCTCTTTATTTAAAACAAAATGTCTTAAAATTATTTCTCCCTACTTCATCTTGGGACTGGCAAGAAAAGAATAAATTTATCCTATTTTTGAAACTAAACACCAAGGTATTCCTTAGTATATCTTTTTATCCTCCCATACAGTCCTAAATACCCATGTGGCCCAGCCTCTCCATCATTGTCACTTTGCAGCTCCGGCCCTCTTCCAGTCCTTATCTTTCCTGGGGCTTTATGCTTTTATTGGCACACAGACTGTTTCATGCAAACCACTGCTTTCTTGTCACTTATCTCCTTTCATAAGCTAATCAGTTTACACTACTTTCCATAAGTATCCTAGGACAAGCTTCAAGTCTAAATCACGTGTGAATGTTCTACTTTGAAACTAACAGTAGCATTGACAGCAATTCGTTGTAAGCAAAGCACTACATTAGTGTGACAGTAAGTAAATTCATGCCAGCATTCCATTCCATGTTGACATTCTCCACAGATTTTACAATAAATTCTTTTTTATTGTTTTGTTTTTTGTTTCTTTGAGACAGGGTTTCTCTGTTTTGGAGGCTGTCCTGTAACTTGCTGTGTAGACCAGGCTGGCCTTGAACTCACAGAGATCCACCGCCTCTGCCTCCCGAGTGCTGGGATTAAAGGCGTGCGCCACCATCGACCAGCTCCACAATAAATTCTTTAAACTGAAAACGGATGTGGAAGTGTATACTCAGGAGGCAGAGGCAGGCAGATCTCTGTGAATTCAATGCTAGTCTGGTCTACATAGAGAATTCCAGTACAGCCAGGGCTACACAGAGAAACTCTGACTTATTAAAAAAAAAAAAAAACCTGTACCAAAGTTGCCATTAGCAACTGAGAAGAAACACTAAAAATGTGAAGTTTGACTAAAAGAACAACCCTTCCACTTCGTACTATGCATTAATTAGATGATGCACGCTAAAGCAGAACAAACTCTCTAGCTTAAGTTGGGTCTGAACAGGCAGTCACGTCATAGGAGGGTGAATGGCACCAAGGGAGGGAAAGTGAGACTCACTCAGATTCATAGTGAGGCTGTGGCTGAGCTCCGTGGGACAGTAAGTCTCTGTTCTCTGCCCCCCTTATGGAGGTGTCACTTCTTAGAAACTTCTTCCAGCTGGCCTTTCCTCAGAAAGCAGCCACAACAGCAAGGTCAAAAAGAAAGTAACTAAAATTAAAGAAAACGTCGGCTTCTCCCGGTGACTGACTCAACATTTAATAATGTATGGTGCCCTCAAAGCTTCGAGCTATATTACTTAGCCATCTCCAAGTGCTCTTGACTCAACCAGGAGGCCATTCTCAACACCTAACTCACTGGCACACAGCAGACGTGAAGCAGCTCAGAACATTCCTAGGCTGAGACTCAGAGGGGAGTAAAAAGAATGATCTCATAATGTCTCTTTATGATCTCCAGGTCTCATTATTCCATACATCATTCCACAAATCTGACTGTCAAATTTGTACTGAGGAACCACTTTCCAAACCGGAAAACAACACTGAGCACTTTTCTGGTTTATATATTAAAACTGGCTGAAGAAATAAAAGCAACTTTGATTTGCTTCCATTCCCTCCCCTAAATTTAAAAGTCTCTTTGCTGATTTGCTTGCTTGTTTATGAATAGTCTAGTGTCATGTAGCCCAGGCTGTCTTAACTTGCTGATCTTAAACTCCAGACCCTTCTGCCTCCATCTCTCCAATGCTAGGATTACAGACATAGCACCCCCACACTCAGCTTGCTTGTTCTTGGTTTGGTTTGGTTTGGTTTTTTGAGACAGGGTTTCTCTGTGGCTTTGGAGTCTGTCCTGGAACTCACTCTGTAGACCAGGCTGGTCTTGAACTCACAACGATCCACCTGCCTCTGCCTCCCGTGTGCTGGGATTAAAGGCATGCGCCACCACACCCAGCATCTCTCAATTTTTTAGAATGTCAACACAAGACAGAAATTCAAGAAATACCTTTAGGCTTAGTAGAATTTTGTTAATGACAATCTTTAGTTAGATGTTTTTGAAGGTACTGATACAAAAAAATTTAATGTATTTATTCATTTCCTTTAATTACTTTAATTGTATGGATGTTTTGTCTGCATGTATGTCTATGCACCACACATTGTATACCTGTTGTCTGCTTAGAGAGGCCAGGAGGGTGGTAGATCCCCTGGGACTAGAGTTACAAACCACTGTGAGCCATCCTGTGAGTGCTGGGAATCAAACCTACATCCTCAGGGAGAGCAGCAATGCTCTTAACTGCTGAGCCATCACTCCAGCACCCAATACAAAAACTTAAATTTGACTAGCGTCTATAAATATGAATGGGGCAACTCAAAACCTAATTTTAAATGAGTCAGTGTCTATGTTTAATTTGTTATGGCATTTGAGGCAAAGATGAAAAACAACTATTCAGCAAAAGAATGCTATTTGGAATGGTGAGTTACAATTACTTCTGGAAAACCAGGACGTGATTGCAAATAATACCAAAGTCCCTAAGACCACCTGTTAAGCTAAAAGAAAAAAGAAAAAAAATCTATGCATCCCATCGTCTTTAGATGTAACCAGAGGCTGGTTACACCTAGGATATACAAGAAGCATCGGATTAAAAGCATCACCTAGCCGAGGTTGCTAAACACAAACACAGCAAAGGAAAAGCCCATATAAAGTTAAAGAAAAAGGGTTTAAGGTTTAAACACACTCTCAAAATGCAATACCCAAACTGTGCTTCAACCTCAAACTCATGGGTAACCACTAACCCCGAGTTATTTCCTATCTCCTTCCTTATCCTCTCTTGAATTCCTAACAGCTCTTTATCATTTCTCCAAGGCCTTTCTTCTCCCAGAAAGTGAAACAGCACCTGGCCTCCACATTTTACTACCTCACCATTTAAGATTAAGTTTTGTTTTGCTTTCTCCTATTGGTTATTAAATTTGTCCCCATTTACCTGTACCTACAGTTCAGTACCTTGCCCTTGCTACAAATAATTTTGCCTCCCCTGCAAAGCAGAGCGTTTATCTCCTTTTTGTTATTTGTAATTCCGGCTCACAGTCAACACTGCCTTTCTCTCCCAGGGACTGTCACCACAGCCCTAGGTCTGAGTCCTAATCTTCCTAAATTAGGCCTCTCTCTTCCCTTCCAGAGTTTGGCAACATTAGTTTGGCCAACTGGGATTCCACCCTTATCCCTTAGCCAAAGGCTATCTTCCCAGCTCATTCTACAAAACTACTTGCCTCCCCCAGCCTGGGTTTCCCTTCTTCACCGTTAAACCCATCAGTACCCAGCAGTTTTCCCCTGCCCCCAGTGTCTTCTGTCTTGCCATTATCCTGAGTTCCCCACTATTCCCCACTCCTGAATGCACCTCCTCTCCCAGGCCTTACCCGTAACCCTGACACCGGGAAGGCCCCTGCCAGCGTCCACGGGCGTCTCTGCGCCCCGGTTCCTCCGCTCTTCAGTAACTGTCCCCACGCCCCTTTCCCTCCAGGGCCCCGCGCGCCGCCAGGAGCCCCCACCTCGAATGAGCTCCCACTGTCACTTGGCCTCTCTTCCACAAGATGGCGGAGCTGCTGCCCCCACCCCAGGGTCCCCTCTGCACCCTGCACCCTCCCCCGAGCTCCAGTCCAGTCCCTCCCTCCGCCTCGCCACCGGCCTCGGCCGCGGGTCCCACCGCCCCCTCCCGCGGTGAGCCGGAGACCCAGGCCTGAGCTCGGCGACGCGCCAACGCCACCGCCTCCACCATTCCCCAGCCCGCACCATCTCCTCACCATAAACTTGAGCGCTTTCTCCTGCAGCACCGCCTCTGCCGGGTCCATAATCGCCCGGGCTAGTGGGTCTGCTCTCCGCCGGGGCCGCCCCTTTCGTGCCAGGCCGCAGCCAACGCAGCCCGGATCCCGCCTCCTCTTCCTTCCCCCGCCCTCTCTTACCTCCTGGCACGGGCGGGGGGCGGGGGTGCTGAGACGGACCCGCGGCTCGGCGCGTGCGCGCCCCGCTCCCTCACGGGACTTGTAGTTCTGGAGGCTCGTGCTGCAAAAGGCGTGAACACGCGGCGGACAGCAACTCCCGCGGGTCACTGCGTAGAGTCGCGGCTGTGTGGCAGTCAAAGCTAGAGCGCTCGGGAGCCAGGAGGGGAAGGCGGCTGACGGGAATTGTAGTTTGCAGCCTTTAAGAAGGCGAAGCCAGAGTGTCGCCGTGGTTACCGAACGACGCCAGTGGCTGCTTGCCTGGCATTTGATAGCAAGATGGCGACTAGCGCTTCGTCTGTATTCCAAACACGGGGAAAACAGAGGACTCAGGGTCCTTGGGGCTCCCTAACTGTGATTTTGGAGAACTGGACCCTAAGTTTCATACTTAGGGCGTCTGCGGAAGGACTGAGACCTGGGGACTCTGAGCCCAGTGCGCTTGTGGAAACAGCCTAAACACCAAGGCAAGATTTCAAAGTCCTCCTAAGCTATTGCCTCTCATTTCTGAAGAGTCTTTTCTCCCCCAGAGCAAGTCCGGAACAGATAGAACTCGGTCCTGGAAATTCTTGAGTTTGGCACTCAGAAAGTAGGGACCGCCATTGCTAACCCTGAGATCTAAGCCCTGTGTTGAGTCGATAAAATACAATGGCCATCAAGCAAGTGAGGCCTGTGGGTGTCTTTGGCCTTGAAAAGGACAAAATGGGCTGGGGAGATGGCGCATTGGGTAAGAGTGATTGCCCTGAAAGGACAAAGTTCAAGTTCAAGTCCCCAGCACCCACATAAAAAGCTGACATGGGGGCTCAGTGGTTAAGAGCACTTGCTACTCTTGCAGAAAACCTGGGTTCACTTCCCAGCACCCACATGGAACTTCAGGAACTTCAGTTCCCTCCATACCCTTTAAGAAAGAAAAGGACAAAATGGGTTTATTTTGGAAATTGAGTATACCTCTGGGGGGGGATCATTAGACTTGGTCTAAAAGCCAGATTCTGATAAAACTGTACAAGATATCTGAGTTTTTAAAATAAAGGGATTAGGAGCACACCTTTTTTCTTCTGGAAACAAAAGGAAAGCCAGTGAGCTGACCATCCCAGCCCTCCTGAGGAGGCAAAAGGATCAGTGCAACTTGAAGCCAGCCTGGTCTACATAGTAAATTCCAGGACAGCCAAAGCTAGACCTGTGTCAAGCAAAAAGAGAAAGATACAAACTTTTTTTTTCTGCAAAGGACCTTCTAGGACCTCTCACATACTAACCGAGTATCTATTACTCATCTACATCTCCAACTCCTCCATTATAAACTATTTTATGTTTTCTTTCAACAAATACTGAGCATACAACCGTGCAGATGTGGAAGAAAAGCTTATGATGACTCCAGTCAGGTATGGTGGCCCATGACTCTAACCCCAGCACTCAGAGGATAGAGGCAAGAGGATCTCTGTGAGCTTGAGGCTGGCCAAGGCTACCGAATAAGAATCTGTCTTTTTTAAAAGTAGTAACATTGCCAGGCAGTGGTGGTGCACGCCTTTAATCCCAGAACTCGGGACCAGAGGCAAGCAGATCTCTGAGTTCAAGGCCAACCTGGTCTACAGAGTGAGTTCTAGGATAGCCAGAGCTACATGGAGAAACCTTATCATGAAGAGAGAGGGTGGGGAGGGAGAGGGAGAGAGAGAGAGAGAGAGAGAGAGAGAGAGAGAGAGAGAGAGAGAGAGAGAGAGAGAGAGAGAGAGAGAGAGAAGAGAGAAGTAGGTAGCAGCAGCAGTTGCTGACACCATCACTTTATTAGATTTTATGCCAGGCACTAGAAATGTTACATTAATAATTTCTAATGCAGGCATTGTGACGCAGGCCGACAGCCTTCTTTGTCCAGCCAGACAGAGGTAGGCGTTGGTAAAACAAGAGGTTTAATTTAGAGGCTCCACTTGCTAAAGCACTCGTGTGCATGTGGACCCAAAGGGAACTGTCAGGGGCTGGTCACAGAAAAGCTCATCTTCATTACAATTGGCCACTTGCACCTAGATATGGAGGGGAGGTGCGTGCTTTTAATCCCAGCACCCAGAGGCAGAGGCAGGAGGATGAGGAGTTTGAGAGCAGCCCGAATTACATGGCATTGTCTCAAAAGCAAACAAAACCAAAAGCCACTTCTCATGGCTAAATTAAGAACCTTTTAATGAACCAGCCTGCCTCCATTTTAGGCTTAAAAGCCATTTTATAGTAAAGATGAACTAGGTTCATTCATTAAAACTAGGTCTAATTCACTGCCTGTTCCAGGAATTGGCAGCCATGTCTTTGTTTCAAAGAATTGCTAGGACCATCTGGTTTGTTTCAAAAGGTTATTATAACCACCTGTTGTTATGACTACCTTGTTATGTTTTGCTTCTATAGCCCTACCTATTTGCCTACCAA